GAGAAGACATGAGGATTTAAAAGGAAGCAAAGAGAAGGGAAACAGCCATGGATTACAGTAAGGCGCACATTACAGTATTGGTTTATGTTAAAAAATCTGAAGGTTTAATGTCATAGTTACATAGTATTTGAGGTTGAATAAAGACATTAGTCCATCAAGTCCAACCTATTAGGATCTCATTCTTAGGAGTACTACTTGTACCCCTGTATATTACGGTCCCTTAGGAAATCGTCCAAAAGTTTATTGAACAATTCCACACTTTTTGCTGAAATCACCGCCTGTGGCAGTGAGTTCCAGACCCTGACTGCTCTAACTGTGAAGAACCCCCTTCGCCCCTTGTGCTGGAATTCTTTATCCACCAATTTTAGGTGGTGGCATCTAGTTTTTGTAATGGAGTTAATTTTGTCACTTTAATGAAAGAAGAGAGCTGTATTTGGAGGAATTAATGTAGCAGATGAGTCAGGCAGGGTAAAAGTTAATGGGACCAAATAAGAGATTGAAGGTGAAAGGGTTGCTGAGGCTACAATGGCATCCAGTGTTCTGTTGAAATGGCCAACTTGTAACGTCATGTCCGGTGTCTTGCCAGTAGAAGTTTTCGACAAAATGGCGCTAGTGCGCCAGTGTCAGAATCCACATTGAGTTTTCCAGCTCCTGTCAGTGCGCCTGCGTGGCTTCACAATCCTCGTTAAGCTCTCCAACTCCAACAGTGTCTGGCAGAGAGAAACTCACAGTGCAATCTTGTCCAAATCTCCTACTGGCAAGTCACTGGCCGTGACGTAACGAGTTGGCGATCTTGATAAGTTGGACGTTTCGATAGAACACCGGTTCAGCTGTATGTACTGTGTCTGGTAGGGAGAAACTCAGTGAGGGCTGCAGTTACAGTGCAGGAGGCAGGCACTGAAGGGGTTACAGGCACTCAGCCAGAACTTGTTACACAGGTCAATTCTGGTTGCTGTATGGAGCTCTGTCTCTGAAAAGAACTGACAGGTTGGGAAGGAATTGATTGCTGGGGCACTGACCCCCCCTCCTTGGACTTCAGGATCAGTGGGCTCCGGGTGGACAATCAGTAGCTGAAACTGTGTGGAGACTGTGTCTGCTTTTCGCTGGCAGGTGGAAGGGCAGGACATGTGGTTGGAGCTGTGAGCTGAGCTTGCAGAGCCCACATGTGTTGCAGGCAGATTCCTCTTGGTGGCACCAGTAGTTCTGTTAGTTCTGTTTCTGTTCTCATGTCTAAATTGGCCCTGTATGCATGCATGTATGTATGCATGCATGTGAGATAGGGAGCTTAAATTGTAAGCTCCTTGAGGGCAGGGACTGATGTGAATGTGGAACTATGTAAAGTGCTGCGTAAATTGTCGGTGGTATATAAAAACTTGTAATAGTAAATAAAATACATTGTGTTGGGGCTGGGGCTCAGATAAGAAGGGGGATCTATTTCTTCTTGGAACAACCACTCTCTGTAGTTCCCCTGGGTCAGATGGACAAGAGGGAGGTTGTTCAGAGGTCAGGAGGGGAAGAAGCCTGAATGCCTCACCACTTTCCAGAGTTGTCTGAAGTGCAAGACAATATCTTTGTATCCATGTTGAACAGAGGAATTCTATGAACCCAGGAAAACGTTGACACTGCAGAGAATCTTCCAGGCTGTAAGGACATCTGTCTGCTGCAGTCGATCCAGGCCCGGATTTCCCACAAGGCCACCGAGGCCCGGCCTCGGGGCGGCAGAGCGCCGACGGGCGGCAGCGGTGACCCTGTGGGGAAGTTGCGGGCGCCGGTGTAAGGTATCCGGCGTCCGCACACTACGGTCCGCCGCCGTCCAATCACGACGGGGCGGCCCGAGGCTAAGGAAGCTCTCCTTTTGCAATTTTTGTTACCACAGGTTGTTCTCTAAAAACAGTGGATGGCTGAATGGGGCCCGCTACAGATGGAGCATTCATGTTTGAAAAGACATGACATGTACCACTATGCAGTAGCTTTCATTGAATAACCAATACACTTTGTGTTTTGGTGCAGCTTAACGCCACACTAGCAATGCCGGCACTGATTGAAAAGGGTAGCTTCCTGACAATTGAAGTGAAGGTCAAATCTAATGGACATTTTGTTTGTATTGTGTAATGTAATTTTACCAGCTTTGACCCCCACAAACCTGATAGGCTCCCTTATTAGATCCAGATAACTGAACAAACAGGAGGTAAGTCCTGGGAATTTTATCCACATAGAATAATGGAATATGTATAAAACCCTTGAAGCCAGTTACCAAATGTCCTCGGAAGCAGCTTTGTTTTTTCGCTTTGATAATGCACGTCGATACACCTTGGTCTATCAGCGCTTTCTGTCAGGAAGAATTTGTGAGAGCCGATCTACAAACTCACGACTCCATATTTTTTGCCTAACCTCCATCAAGACGTGCATACCCAATGGTGACATATTTCACAGCTGGCCAATATGCATAGTAGCTCCTCCACTAGGAAGAGTGTTTGTACCTGATTCTCACCAATGCTAGAGAAGACATTTACAATGGAAATGAGTCTATCCTCAGACACATTTGAAACAGAAGTACCGACCTCTGTGTCCCATACCCGCCCACAATAATGTTCACGATTTGGGGCTTGAGGTCATGAACCAATTCATGATCTCTCCTTTTCTGCGTTGTTGAGCTCTAGATCCTGCTGATATTCCGGAAGGACCAGCTGTAGTTACAACATCAACCAGGAGCAGGTGATCCTGCAGACACACATTATTCCCTTGAGGAGCTGAAAGGTCCAGGGGAGAAGTAATAGGCAGAGGAAGGCGTACAGGCAGTGAAGGGTTAAAGTGACATTAAACCCTCAGATTTTTTAACATAAAACAATACTGTAATGTGTGCCTTACTGTAATCCATGGTAGTTTCCCTTCTCTTTGCTGCCCTTCATTTTACATCTGTATCTGTTCTCATGCTGGGCAGAACTTCTGTTTTGCAGCAGACTGCCTTGTCTCTGAAATGGCTACATGGTGTCTGTGTGTAGGTTTGCAACCTGAGCCAGCACTACAGGAAAAGGCCCTGAGCTGCAAAGGGAAGTTCTCCCCAAGCATGAGAAGACATGAGGATTTAAAAGGAAGCAAAGAGAAGGGAAACAGCCATGGATTACAGTAAGGCGCACATTACAGTATTGGTTTATGTTAAAAAATCTGAAGGTTTAATGTCATAGTTACATAGTATTTGAGGTTGAATAAAGACATTAGTCCATCAAGTCCAACCTATTAGGATCTCATTCTTAGGAGTACTACTTGTACCCCTGTATATTACGGTCCCTTAGGAAATCGTCCAAAAGTTTATTGAACAATTCCACACTTTTTGCTGAAATCACCGCCTGTGGCAGTGAGTTCCAGACCCTGACTGCTCTAACTGTGAAGAACCCCCTTCGCCCCTTGTGCTGGAATTCTTTATCCACCAATTTTAGGTGGTGGCATCTAGTTTTTGTAATGGAGTTAATTTTGTCACTTTAATGAAAGAAGAGAGCTGTATTTGGAGGAATTAATGTAGCAGATGAGTCAGGCAGGGTAAAAGTTAATGGGACCAAATAAGAGATTGAAGGTGAAAGGGTTGCTGAGGCTACAATGGCATCCAGTGTTCTGTTGAAATGGCCAACTTGTAACGTCATGTCCGGTGTCTTGCCAGTAGAAGTTTTCGACAAAATGGCGCTAGTGCGCCAGTGTCAGAATCCACATTGAGTTTTCCAGCTCCTGTCAGTGCGCCTGCGTGGCTTCACAATCCTCGTTAAGCTCTCCAACTCCAACAGTGTCTGGCAGAGAGAAACTCACAGTGCAATCTTGTCCAAATCTCCTACTGGCAAGTCACTGGCCGTGACGTAACGAGTTGGCGATCTTGATAAGTTGGACGTTTCGATAGAACACCGGTTCAGCTGTATGTACTGTGTCTGGTAGGGAGAAACTCAGTGAGGGCTGCAGTTACAGTGCAGGAGGCAGGCACTGAAGGGGTTACAGGCACTCAGCCAGAACTTGTTACACAGGTCAATTCTGGTTGCTGTATGGAGCTCTGTCTCTGAAAAGAACTGACAGGTTGGGAAGGAATTGATTGCTGGGGCACTGACCCCCCCTCCTTGGACTTCAGGATCAGTGGGCTCCGGGTGGACAATCAGTAGCTGAAACTGTGTGGAGACTGTGTCTGCTTTTCGCTGGCAGGTGGAAGGGCAGGACATGTGGTTGGAGCTGTGAGCTGAGCTTGCAGAGCCCACATGTGTTGCAGGCAGATTCCTCTTGGTGGCACCAGTAGTTCTGTTAGTTCTGTTTCTGTTCTCATGTCTAAATTGGCCCTGTATGCATGCATGTATGTATGCATGCATGTGAGATAGGGAGCTTAAATTGTAAGCTCCTTGAGGGCAGGGACTGATGTGAATGTGGAACTATGTAAAGTGCTGCGTAAATTGTCGGTGGTATATAAAAACTTGTAATAGTAAATAAAATACATTGTGTTGGGGCTGGGGCTCAGATAAGAAGGGGGATCTATTTCTTCTTGGAACAACCACTCTCTGTAGTTCCCCTGGGTCAGATGGACAAGAGGGAGGTTGTTCAGAGGTCAGGAGGGGAAGAAGCCTGAATGCCTCACCACTTTCCAGAGTTGTCTGAAGTGCAAGACAATATCTTTGTATCCATGTTGAACAGAGGAATTCTATGAACCCAGGAAAACGTTGACACTGCAGAGAATCTTCCAGGCTGTAAGGACATCTGTCTGCTGCAGTCGATCCAGGCCCGGATTTCCCACAAGGCCACCGAGGCCCGGCCTCGGGGCGGCAGAGCGCCGACGGGCGGCAGCGGTGACCCTGTGGGGAAGTTGCGGGCGCCGGTGTAAGGTATCCGGCGTCCGCACACTACGGTCCGCCGCCGTCCAATCACGACGGGGCGGCCCGAGGCTACTGGGCTCTCCCGTGACCCCACGGGTTGTCCATATTGTTGGCATTGTCACCCTTCTTATTGCTGTGAAAGAGATCTTTATTACCCAGGAAGGGGAGGAGGGAGGCAGCCGGGAGGAGGCGATCCATGATGCTGCGGTTCCTGCGAAGGACCTTTGGCCGTAGGTCGATGCAGCGGCATGCTGTTGGGAGAGCTGCAGCCACCACTCGTGGGCGAGATGAGAGAGATGGCGCAGCCATGGTGATGAGGGCAGCAGCCTCCTCTCCTCCAGGGGGGCCCTACCTGCACTCCACCTATCTGTCCCCCCCTGTGGCCAGTGGAGGGGCCGCAGTCCACATCCCCGCAGCAGGGGACAACAAGTCCATACTGACCTGCAAGGTGCAGCTGCTGGATGGGACGGATGTCAGTGTGGATCTGCCGGTAAGCCAAAACTTCTTAGCTGTCACAAGCCATTGATCTGTGTGTACAATGCTGGGAATTTCTACTGTGGTTACCATGATCATCAACTATACAATCAGATTGTACAGTGTATGGCCTCCTTTAGCGTCACAAGCCATTATTCAACTTGTACAAAACGCTGGGAATTTCTTCTGTCGTTAAGATGGTCATAAATGATGCAATCAGATTTTGCAATCTAAGGACAACCCTAAACAATCCATTCCAATCTCTGTCCAATCAGGCGGGCTCTTACACTGCATAGTTGATGGTAGTTTTAAAGAGGTTGTACAATCAATGATCGATTGCTTAGGGGTCACAAGCAATGGATCAATTTGTATCTAATCAGGCTGGTTCTTAAGGTGCCCATACACCTTAACCATCGCAAGACTTTTGTCTTGCGATGGTCGTAAGCTTATTAAAAGCTCGTACGATCTGCCCATCTTGGACAGGCAGATCGTATTTGCGATCATCGAAAGCATGCCCCGCTGAGGGGTGGGCTTCCGATGACCGCAATGCAGAACAGGCAGCGTGCGTGTGCGCACAACGGCCCGTTCCGCAGCTGTCGAACGAGCAGGCTAGAAACCCGCCGACGATCGTACGATTCTCGGCGGGTTTTCGAGCATGCTGGTTCGACAAAAGACGTGCGACCGTACAGTAAAAACGGTCGCACGTCTTCGTTCACACTGCTAGATTCTCGTACGATCGTGGGATTTCCCGCGATTCTCGTATGAGAATCGAGTAGTGTAATGGCACCTTTAGACTACGTTGTTGATGATAGATCTGAAGGAGACTATATTGTGTGTTGAGCCCTCGGTGTCACAAAGCATCGATTACAGTAACTTGTACAAGGCTCTGGGCATCTCTTCTGTCATTGGAGTATTATCAGAAGACAGCCCAGTCAGTACCATGGGGCTCATTCACTTGGGCAGAGGTCTGTGCCCCATAAAAACTGTCCAGGAAACTGGTATTGTGTTCAGCTTGCCTGTACAAATCTATGGCAGGCTGCGACTGTACGCTGGTAAACTCTGCTCTAGGCATGTTCAGATGTACCCCGTGTATATCCAGGGGGATACATCTGTACTTATTACTCATGTACATGCACAAAGCCGTGTTTATTAGTGTGCAGCAGCAGCCTGGCATTGATCTGTATGCAACACATGTGGCTCTCGGATAACACATGTGGCTCTCGGATACAGATCTCTGGCTGTTTTTTTAATATATGTGAATGAGCCCCTCATGAGCCGTCGATATATGTAGGAAGATGGCACTGAGGCAGAGATGAAAGGACACTGCAGAGTCCAGGGTCATGCTATAGAGTGCTGGAGACACGTGAGAAAGGAGTTTCATTTCCCAGCTCGTGCAGCAGAGTGCTCGTCTTGGATTCTTTCTCATTGTTAGGAATTCTTGGCTACTGTCATCAAATACGGCGTCTATTAAATAATTGGGTAGTCACGTTCCCTGTAAAAATAATTGTAATCCAAAGTGGCTCCTTAGCTCCCATTTACACCATATGCACCTGGCAGCCTCCTTCTCCCAACACTTATATGAGGCAAGTTGCGACTGCGGTGTTGTGCACTTAAAAAAAAAAAGTAGGATGCGCTGCCTTTTTGCACAATGCGTTGCGACACACTACGCCATATCACAGCACTCTGCGTTATGTACAGATTACTAAAATGTTTTCAATAGAGTTACGGTGCAATGCATCATTACAACGCATCGCGGTGCTCCTTCACAATGCATACCAGTGACATAATGTGCACTGCTGAGGTGAATGGGCCCTAAGAAACAGATTTGAATCTGTTGCCGGTCTATAAGTGTATATAGTGCATATGTTTTTAAAGATCACAGTCTAAAATAATGTATGACACATATTTCAGATAGAATAAAAACACAGAACATTTTTATTAGTATCTTTAAAGCTGACCTCCGGGATAATTAAATATTGTCTAAATACAGGAGGCATGTGTGTTCTTACTTAAATCATGGTGTGTTTTCTGTATTTCTTCCACATCCATATCGTAATCTAGTGTGAAACTGCCTCTGTGCAGGAACTTCCTGTAATAAAGCCCAATCAGTGCTGCTCTCTCTCCTTGTGCAGGATGACTGGTCTGGTAGTGGGTGGTGTCTGCTGGGCCCCTCCCACTTCTCTGCTCCCTGCACAGTCTATGCACAGCATAGTAATGATGTCACTGCTACATATACAAGGTTTTTTCTTGGTTGGTAAAGGCATTTGCTGCACACAAAGTGGATTTATAATGTTTGTGGCTCTTATGGAAAACATATTGAAATGGGAGTTTTGTGCCCAGAGGTTTTCTTTGTTTCAAATTGTCCAGTTTTAGGGGCTTCTTGATCAGCTAAATAGTAGACGGGTTACCCCGCAATGTATCATTGAGTAGGCTAAACCTGGATAATCAGTTCAGCAACAGGTGGAATGCTGGAGCTGCCAGAATATCACACAATCCTCGACTTTTATTAGTGAAATGATTTGTGTTTGTGCTGACTGATGTTCTGTGTGAGCTTAGAAGAGGTTGTGTTGATCTATATTGTTTTCTGTGTTTCACATGTGTTTTGAAAAGATGCCTTGCTGCGCTCCTTATCGGATCCATTCCCATGCAAGATGTAGGTGGGTGCTTGTAGTGACCACGGATGGTGCCATAAAACAAGATACAGATTTTTGGAGATGTCACCAGCACACTGTTATTACTTGTGCAATCAGCAAACCTCCATTTATTGACAAGTATTGCCACTCGTGTAATCACTTTCGGGCCGCGCATGGTCCACTTCATCATGGTCAGAATGATAACACGCATATCTGAAGACGCCATTTAAATAGACATACATGATCAGTGAAAAAAAGGTAGAACCTCCTACTCCCCCTGACATCATATGATGTCACACTCCCGCCATTAATGAATTCAAACACACATATACACTTCAAAAAAGGTTACCGTATGCAAAAATACCAGATATTATAATATAGCCGGCCCAACTAGAATGTAAAAATGGACATCAACAATGCAGGCATTTAACCACTTGCTGACCAGGTTGTTTACACCCCTTTCCTGTCCAGGCCATTTTTCAGTATTCAGCTCTGTGGTACTTTGACTGACATTTATTCTGTCATGCAACACTAGTGAAATGAATTTTATCCTATTTTTTGAGGACAGATAGAGCTTTATTTTGGTGGTATTTAATCACCACTGGGGTTTTTTTATTTTTTACTATATAATGAATAAAGTACCGAAAATTTGGGGGAAAAAAACAGTTTTCCCTACATTATGTTATAAAACAGTTATTATTACCCAAATGTTTGACAAAGTATAAAAGACAGGGTCACGTCGGGTAAATAGACACCATGTCAAGCTTTAAAATTGCGTGTGTCCACCGAACTCGCAAAAACTACCATACCCAAAATTGGCCATAGGCGAAGCTTTGAAAGCTTTTACCGCTCATGAGGTTCGTTTTATCAGTGATTGATTGGGCCTAGAATTAGTGCTCTCACTGCGACGTTCGCAGCCATATGTAACTTGTGCTACGTAATGGATGCAATCGTCTTTTACGCACTTAGGCACACTCGACGCATGTTTGCTTGTGGGGGGCGGGGTTTTTTTTTTTACATTTTATGTGACTTTATTTTTTTATATATTTTTTCTAACTAATTCTTTTAAACATTTTTTTTTCACTTAACTTTATTGCTATCACATAGGGGACTAACAAGCCCCCTTTGTGATAGCCAATTTTCAGTGACAGGTCCTCTTTATGGAGACATCAGGGGTCCTTAAGACCCCTAATGTCACCTAGGGACCCCCAGAGAAGCTGATGTACCGGAGAGTGACAGAGGAATGCGGAAGTGATGTAATACACATCACTACCTGCATTCCGAAGAGGAGGAGTAGCTCAAACGGAGATCGTATACTGAACTCCGGCCGCAGAGCTGCTGTGCTGGTCCCTGGCTCACACCGAGCACAGCGGAGCTTGGGATCGGCAGCTGCGGCGTAGGGGGCGCACAACCGCACGTAAATTACAAGCGATTGGGTGTCTCTACAGACGCCCGAACGCTTATATGTAAACAGGCATCGCCGGCTGGTTACATTGCAGGCTGATTTCCCACTCGTGCGTGCCCTCCTAGTGGCGGGCACGAGCGGGGCGATGGGACGTTTAAAAACGCCCACCCGCATTCAAGAAGCCGCTGTCTGGCTGTTTAACTACAACGGCCGGACAGCAGGTGGTTTAATTAACATACGTGCAGAATAAGAAGATCCACTGATGTAAAGAAGGCACGTGCCACTGTCAGGGCCGTTATGCAGGGTAGAAGACCGTTCATTACCCTGGCACAGGGCGCTCAGCATGTAAGCCAGAGTTATGAATCCTCTGCCAGTCCCACCTCCCGTCAACCAGCGCATGCGCTGTATGAAACACAGGGCTCACAGTTCTCAACCCACCCAGGGTGGAGCCGATTCAATCCTGCGCGTGTACAATGTGGGCGCAGTTTGTCATAGTAATACCGCGCCATTCAAACAGCTGGATTGTACAGTAAAAAGGTCAGCATATGACAAACCACCATGTACATATTCATACCAGTAATCACGCTCTTAATTGCATCGCAATGACACTAATGGTACAGCCTTGCTTTAGGTGAAAAGCGTGAAAAAAAAACGGGAGTCAAGGAAAACCGATAAACATAAATACATTGTACGTTTAAGGATAATGCACTTGATATCACCTGTGCTGCCAAAAATAAATAATTATCCCATGCAACATACACCTAACAGTACATCAATGATGCCATTGAGCTATATAAACATGCATCCTTGCAGAAACAATTGCTCCCTTGGCAAAACTCTCATTGAAAATAAAAGGGAATGGAGCAAACGGGACAAGACACGTGAAAAAACTACAAGAGGGGAGAAGGTAGAGGAGCACAGTACCCATAACAGTGATGAATAACCAGAAAAAAAGGAAGAAATAAAAAGCAAAACCAG